CGGACTGCACAAAGCTGTGAATACGTCTTGCACCCAGCTGAACACATGGTCAAAAGAGACCAGAGGATAAGAGTGAACGGAAGCCATATGCTAGGGCGAACTTTCTGGATGATGAGACCATGGGGTATCTGGCCGACAACGAGACTGCGAAGCTGTCAGCTAGAGTGCTGTGACACATCGGCACACTGAACGGACCCCGCAGTGAAAATCGACAGCAAGATGCTATACTCGTTGCCTTTGAGGCCGATGTCTTCGCGGAGACCAGCGACATAGGCATTAGCGAAAGCCTGGCGATCCAGGTAGTTGAAGAAGTAGGCTGCACAGCAAAACACCTAGTCAAGACAGTCAGATACCTTGAGTAGTCGAGTTATGCGACAGTACTGACCATGATGAAGATGTCTAGTCACATGAAAGTTAGCATGGTTGCGCCATGGGGATAAAGATGCTCATACCAAGCTTCACAACGAGCTTCCTCTCCAAAACTTTCTTCGCATCGCCAGAGTCGCTGGCCCTGAGCCCTGCGCACTAGCATTAGCATCCAAGCAGCCATACAATTCTGGAACCACAAATTCCCTACATCCTAAGGCACCCATCTTCGGTTGTGTACGTCGGTGGATCAGATAAAGCGACGATTATCAGATTGATTAGTCGTGGTACCAATCGCCCAGTTTTAATCCATCTGATAGCACCCGCGTGGGGCCAAGGCCTGGCCTCCGAGCCGGCGTATTGGCATGGAAGATTCTTCGCGCTTGATGATCGTCGACCGAGCATCGGCCCGTTGTTAGGGTGAAATAGGGCCTTGGCCTCGTGTCGAGACCGGGTGTTCTACCAGGAACATCACTCTGGTCCTTTGATCTGCTGATTTCCAGTCATGATCCATGCTTACCGTTCCCGTTGAGCCCAGAGACTTGAGCGGATGGAGTCACTTCTCTAGCACGGTGGTTGAGCTTTACATTTATGGTACGTTCTCCGCGGGGTGTGGGCTGCTTAATGCGAGCGAGCATCCCCCCAAAATATCCCTCACATGTTTCTGTCCCGACTGTCTGGTAGCTGGGTCTGGATATGGCACGATGCATGTGCTGTCGAACAGAATGTCCGCGGTATGCGCGACACAGGGAACCATTACCCCCATTCGCCAGCTTCCTACCTGGAGAACGGGAAAAGCTGTAAAGCTGTTCATGCATACCGGAGTAACCTTCGGTGAGCGACTCTGGCTGTGGCCCATTTAACCCGCGTTTTAACCGCGTTTGCTCAGACTTGGCCTTAGGCGTAAGCAGTGACCCTCTTCATGAAGGCAGACTGCCGCGTACACCCAGTGCTAGGTGAGCGGTCGTTGTGTATCTCTCATAAGACCAGATTCAATCGCGGAGAATGTTCAGTCGGGAAAAACCCCATCCTACCCTCCTGGTTTCAAGACAATTTATGATACTTGTCTAGATGAAGGCCTTACCTCTTCCTACTCTTCAGCTGATGAGCACACGGCCGCAAGGTAGCAGTCAAAGCGCGTTCGCTACACAACACACAGAACTTCTGATATCTTCCAGCATACATAGGCCAAGATCTCGTCATCATTAAAGCCGGTATAGGCTTCCCAATCTCTACTCCCATGGAACGACCAAGATCGCAAATATGATCTTTTCTCCAATACCCTCATCATATCATCACGAGCCCTGGTCACCCTCCTGAGTTCTCATGATGATGAAGAGGTTTGCTACAGTGAGACGCGTAATACAAAGCTTCAGCCCACAAGCTAGATCAACTCATTAATTCCAGCGACAGGGCTACACTAAAATGTCTTCTAATGACCAATGGGGCGCCAACCGTGATTACTCTCCTGTACCTTCCAAAGACAAAGTTCCCGAACTTGTTCGCCCTAAGTCTGATAATTCTGACCATACTGACCACCCTAGCGAGGAAGGCGACTCAATGTCGACTATCGAAACCACGAGCACTGAGAGTGTCGAATTTGACGATCAAGACCAGCCCAGTGACGAAGAAAGAGGGGTGCCAATTGCAGGACCACATGATTCACCTAGACACGTCGTCCGCGAGGGTGATGAAGGAAATGAGGGAGAAATTCGGGAAGCGAACCAGGAAGCAAATCCCGGAGGTAATCCAGGAGGAAATGAAGGACGCAATTAGAGATGCCCTCGCTGTAGACTAGTCTGGTGATGAAGCCAGGCTAGAGCTGCAACAGGCGTCAGACCATCATAATCACGTTCACGTAGAAACAGAGAGGTTTGACGGATTAATGCGAGAGCTTGGTCATCTTGGTAATGTATGTTACGACAGTCTCATGGAAATGGCCTAAACATGTTTACCAGTTGACTAGACAGATCATGAAAATGCCTGGCCGTAATATTTCCCTCTAGACTCATCGTCATCGGCTATCATACCACTTATCTCAGCGTTCGCGACGCGGAGTGCTTGGACTAGGACGATCCACACCATCTGGTCTCGACCAGTCATCTTCTGAATCATACGGAGCGTCCTCATATGGAAGACCATCACGCTTCCCGTACGAACGATCCCGGTACTCATCCATAGCGCCGCTGTCACTATGTGGGGCGACGCGACGGCGAGGTGAGCGAGATCGACGGTGAAGCGAAGCTGGTCCATACGAGTACTGCGGCGAGGTTGGTCGATACTCAGGTGAAGTTGATCCATACTGCGGCGAGGTTGGTCTATACTCAGGCGAGTTTGGTCGATAGAATGGACTACCAGGTGCTTGGTTGTCGCGTCGCTGTGGTAGTGGGATTGCGTTCTGCCCGGTTGCAACTGCAAGACCTTGAGGCACAGTTGGCCGGTAAGAAGGACTGTGACCGTAGTATGGGTTACCTGGTCCCTGATCGTCGCGCCACTGTGGTTGTGGGTTTGCAGGTTGCCCAACTGCAACTACATGATCTTGACGCGATCGGTCTCTCCGCTCCTTTTTCTCAAAGTCCATCTTTCCGATGACGTCGATATTTTGCTGTCCGCTTCCAGTATTCACGTTTTGATTGTAGACTGGCGCTGTCGTGCGCATGTGCGTGTTGCCATGTGGGCCCTTCAACGTCTGGTTGTGACCCCCGGGCTTACCGTCGCCGGCCGTCTTGTTGGTAACTGTATCATTGATCGAGAACTTTTGCTTTCCAGCGTCTCGGTTTAGGCGATGCTCTGGCTCAGTAGGGATCTCGTACTCGGTTGGCGCCGCGCCGGTAGCTGGTGGTGGCGGAGGTTCGAATACGCCATACACGTTGATGTTCTGCTGCCCAGACCCGCTGTTGATGTTTTGGTTATAGATTGGCGCGCTGTTGGTGAGGAAGCTAGTGGCGAATGGAGCCTCGATCGACTGAGAATGGGCATGGCCGTGTGGACCATTCTGGAAGTTAGTGACGGTGTTTTCCTCTTTAATGTGACGGACGCGACCGGATTGATCTAGAGCCTCGGATTTCTGATCTGTATTTCCAGAATGTGGTGATCGTGGTGGTCGAATAGGCTCGCGCTGTTGGCGCTTTGATGGATTGGGGGCTGGTGCCGTAGAACTTGATCGCTTCCCCCCGTTTCGCAGAACCATCTCTTTGCCATCGGCTTCGTTCTCCACATTTAATGACATATCGAAAGGTCGAAGGCCAAACATCCTCCGAGCATCTTGAGCGACGCCCAACATGCTGTTGCGAACTTCCTGAGACTCTTTCCAAGCTTCCTTTTCGACAGCCTGAGTGAGGTTGTTTGCATATGAGATCTCTATCTGTGTCGGTCGTCGGACTTCTTTACGGATCTTGGCAATCAAAGACTGTAGATGATCTTGATTAGAGGTGGGTTGCTTGGTCGTTGTACCCATTGGAGCCGCCATATTTGGTGTACTTCTGATCTGAAGCTAGGCTGTGTATCGTGTTGGAAGCCGGTTGATAATATGCGGGCGCAAGGTTAGAGGAAGGCACCAGAAAGCTTTTCTCCTCCGTAGGCAGAAGCGTGAAATGCGAAGCAGGAGATTTCACTTAATGAAGTCCCCCCATTGTTTGTTCATCGAGTGTTTCCTTGTATCGATCTAATTCCACATGCGCTTGTTGAGGTTGTTTGACCAGGTGTATAGAATGGTAAAGACCGAGTTGGCGTACATCGCGTTTGGCCCATGTCGTTAGATATGTCTCAACAGCGTTCGCCACACAGGTGTATCCATTGTTTTGATCCGCAGCCTAAGTTGGCATTCACCATGTAGGAGTGCCGCTCGTGTGCTCCAGTCATTTTAACCATTACGCATTGGCATATGGTCTTTCTCGCAGAAAAGTCGAAATCGGTGATAACAAATCGATGGATGGAGATGGAATAGAGGATGGAGTGACGGCTGAGATTTGGCAGGATCGCTCCGGAGATGGCACGGAGATAAGCACACCAGCAACCCGACTTCGCAGCACTTCAGCATTGACAACTATAGGCTCTACAATATTGATCGCGACAGATGTATGGAAATCTCGCGCTTCGATCAAACAAGCTCTTGTTGCATCTCGTACTACATGGTCATGGCAGCCGCCCCTGCTGCAACATCACCGGCTTCCCCAAACGGCACCAACCGCGCCTTCCTCGCGACGTCATCCCCCCTTCTCCACCTCCGCACCTGCAGATCACCCCATCCTACCCCAGACGCGCATTTCTACGCGACCATACAACGCCACCAATAGCTCGGCAAGGCTTTCAACGGCATTTTACGCCTTGATCATTCGCCAGAGCCTCTTGAATAACCCTTGCCCCGCAATTACTCCGTCAGTTATGCGCGCAGGCAGCTTGTGATAACGGCGATTTTGCCGATGGACCATCTTTTGTGACGTCGGGGTCAGATCTAGCATGTTGCGTGCGTTCGGGTGATATGATCCGGGTAGTAGGCGGTGAGGTGTGAAGATGGTGGTATAGATACATGGGGTGAACCCACACGGTACTGCATTTTTCCATTGCGGATCTCATCGCCTCTATCGTGCGCATCGCATCTCGTCACAGGGTGAGATAAAAAGACCCCGTCCACGATGTTTCACACCCCCCATTTCAACTGGTACGGTCGCGGCTTCAAACTTCGCGCCGCTATAACAATCGCCTGCCAACTGGCCTTCGTCCTCTTCGGCTACGATCAGGGCGTCTTCAGCGGTATCGTCGGCAACGAAGACTTCCTAAACACTTTCGACCACCCCTCGCCCGGCCTTGAAGGCATCATTGTGTCAATATACAATTTAGGTTGCTTCACGGGATGCATTCTCAGCTTTATGTTTTGCGAGAAGACGGGACGGAGGCTGGCTATGTGGATTGCTATGGTTTGGATTATAGTAGGTGATGTATGAGCGGTGGTGTGAGGATTACGGCTGATCATGACAGGTCGGTGGCGCGCTCCAAACGAGTGCGTATACGGTGCCGCATATGATGGTCGCAAGATTTCTGACAGGGATTGGTACTGGGATCGAGACTTCGACTGTGCCCATGTACCAGTCTGAGCTGTGTGAAGCGAACAAGCGCGGCCGCCTCGTGGCGTCAGAACCACTCTTCGTCGGCGTGGGGATCGAGCTGGCGTACTGGTTCGACTATGGAATGTCGTTTACGGAAGGATCGATCGCGTGGCGTTTACCCATTGCATGCCAGGTCATCTTCGCCATCATCGTCATCGTGCTTGTTTTTGGCCTTCCTGAATCACCCCGGTACTTGTATGCGCATGGTCGCCACGAAGAAGCGCTTCAGATTCTTTGTGACGTATACGACGGCACGCCTGATGATCCAACGATTGAGAAGGAGAACAGAGAGGTGCTGGAGGCTCTGCAGGTCGAGCGAGAGCATGGAGAGTACAAGTGGTCGCAACTTCTCAAGAAAGACCGCGTCCAGACTAGACGTCGTGTATTGCTTGCCTACGGCGCGCAGTTCATGAACTAGATAGGTAGAATTAATTTAGTTATCTACTACTATTAAACTTAATAAATTAATATAAAATAAAATAATAGAGTAGAGTAAAGCTCTACCTCTCTTATATACTTAAGAAGTAGTATTTATATTTACTATAATATAAACCTACTCTCTAACTAAAAGCTTCTAGTTTTATCTAATACTTTTACTAACTAAAGACTATTACTCTATTAACTTTATACCTAATATATTTTAAAGTAATAAGAATCTCTTCTTTATAAATACTTTTGTAAATACATCTACTATATTCTTTTTACTACTTACTTTCTCTAGTATTTATTTTTCTTTCTATATATAATCTCTAAGTATATAGTATTATATTTTAATATACTTTACTCTTTAATAATATTTAGAGTTATTAGTAAGAATATAAGTACTATTATTATTAATAAGTATTTTAGTTTTCTTTTATCTAATATTCTTTTAAATATCTAGACTTATTAGAATTTCTTATATAATATTTTATATCTATATAACTTTATTTAATAGATCTACTACTATAATATACTCTACTTTCTAAGTTAACTAAGCTATAATCTTTTATCTTCTTAAGGTATATATAATTAGAGATATACTAAATATAATAACCTAGTCTATAGTAGAGCGTTATATATCTTTATATATTACCTAGTTACTATTAGTATATCTAATTATCTAAGTTTTATTATAAGTATTATAGAATAATTCTATTATTATTATACTTTTTAGATATTAGAAGATCTAAATTACTACATTTATATAATTCTATAATAGATTTAAGTAATAGTATAATACTACTTCTACTATAAAAGCTATATTAGGTTATATAATAATTAATAAGTATAGTAGTACTTCTACTATAGACTAGTATCTCTTAATAAAATTCTTTAATACCTAATTAGTATTCTTTTTAATTTCTAATAGATTAGTAAAGTATAGTATTAAAGTAGTGCTAATATTTTCTAGTTAGTATCTTTCTAGTAGTTATCTAATATATCTTTATTAGTAAAGATAAATTTTATTATCTATTTAATATACTTTAATACTAAGATAATACTAGTATAGACCTATATCTATTAGAGTAAAGTAGTCTAATAAAGTCTCTTTCTAGACGCTAATATTATCTAAAGAATCTTTTATAAGTAGAATATTATCTATATAGATTTCTATAATTAACTTCTTATTAGTGTAAAAGTATAATAAAAGATTATATATAGATACTTTCTATTCTATAAAGACTAAATAGTTTATAAGCTTTTAATACTATTATTAAGAAGCTTACTTTAGACTATATAGTATCTTTTATAGTTTTAGAATAGTGTCTTCTTTAATAAAGTATTTAGGTTATTCTATATAGATATTTTTTTTAATATCTCTATATAGAAAAGCTATTTTAATATCTATTTAATAGATATACTATCTATATTAAGTAGCTAATATAAATAGTAGGTAATAAGATAATATCTTTAGAATAGTAGTAAATATTTTATTATAGTCTAAACTATAATATTATTAAAAACCTTATACTACGTATTAAGCTTTATATATATTAATTATACTATTAGAGTTAAGTTTATATTTTAGTACCTATTTTTCTATATATAGTTTTTAGTTTTATTAATATTTAATATAGATCTATACTTTATACTTCTAGAGTAAGTTATATTTTTTATTTATAGCCTTTTTCTATAAAAGCTATTTAGAGAATTATATAGTAACTTTAAAACTTATAACTTTAGATAGGTTTTCTAAAACTTCTATATTATTATAGATTATTAGTATTATTATTTAGTATTCTTAAGAGTTATTCTAATTATCTAAGACCTCTAAGTAATATAATTAGCTATTTTAATTTTTACTATAATTCTTAGTATTTTTTTCTCTATTATTACTATTATTACTACTATTATTATTATTACTACTATTACTATTATTAGAGTCTATATTCTTTATTTCTTTATTACTTAGTTTATAATCTAAACTATTTCTTTCTTTATTATTAGATAATTTAGACTCTAAAATCTTTTCTTTATCTTTACTATTAGAAGATTCTAAAACTTTCTCTTTTTTACTACTATTATTAATAAAAAACTTTATATTCTTCTTTTTATTATTATTAATAAAAGACTTTAGATTCTTTTTATTATTATTAGTATTAGAAAACTCTAAAAGCTTCTCTTCTTTATTACTAATATTAAGTTACTTCTTTTTACTTATAAGTGTCTTATTATATTTTAACTTTATTCTTAGTAATTTTATCTTTATACTAATAATATAATTATTAGAAATATATTATATATTTTTATAGTAACTATTAAGTAGTATCTATTTAACTCTCTTTTTAAGATTATAGAAATAATAACTATATTAAGTATAAGATTAACTATCTATTATACTATATACTATAGGTTTATTATAGTAATTATAAAGTAGTTTTCTATTATAGTTTTATAAATTATAAAAATAACTTTTATTTTATATTTTATATAAGTTATAAGTAGGTCTACTATTACTATCTTTATATTACTATATTATTATATCTATTAAGTCTAGATAATAGTACTTTATAGTAGAGATATTATTATTATTTAGATAGGTACACTATTTATAGCCTTTCTATATATAATATATATAGAGTTAGTCTAGATTATAGATAAGTATATAATAGCTATAAAGTGTATATTATTTCTATTTTAGCGTCTTTTTAATATACTTAGATATATACTTTTTATTTTCTTTTATATATATTAAATAAGAAGATTCTCTATTATACGTAAGCTCTATAGCTATATATTCTAAGTATTTTTTTTCTTTTATAACTTCTAGTTTATAGAATAGAGCTACTAGTTTATCTATATAAGAAATATTTTATTTTTTATATATTAGATAAAATTTAATAAAAGAAAGTATACTATAACATATATAGTTATTTTAGTAATAAAGTTTATAGCGTTTACTTTTTAAAAGTTTTCTACTTAGATTTAGAATTTTTAGTATACTTTAAAGAATATATCTATTTTTCTTCTTTTTATAGAAAGTATATTTTTTATTAAAAGAAGAAACTCTATTATAGACTCTACGTTATTTAGTATAAGCTTAATACTTAGTGTTTTTTTATAGTATAAGTGCTATAGATAGTTTATTTTATTTCTAGAATAGTAGTTTAGACTTTTTATTCTTACTTCTACTATCTAACTATTCTATATTATTATTAGCGTTAGTATTACAAAAACGTACTAGTGTAGATCTTCTATATATTATATCTTATAGATTTTAAAATACTTCTCTACTTTTAATATCTATAATATTAGTAAGATAAATCTTTCTAGAATTAGAATTCTATATTTTTATTTTTAATACTTCTTAAATACTAATAAGGTAATCTATCTATACTTAAGCGTTAAGCTTCTTTATTTAATATATTATAGTATTTATATATTATAACTATAGAATTAAAACAAAAGCTCTTACTTTCTATAGTTATAGAATAGATATATTTAGTTTTCTACTATAGAGTACTTTATATAGTATTTTATTTAATTTTAAAGCTCTAGTTAGTATATAATTCTTAAGATATATAGTATAGTAATATACTTTAGACTATAGTTTTTCTAGTAGAGTTATATTTTCTAATAATTCTTATGTTTTTATATTAAGTATTCTAAGAATAGTTTATATAATAGGTTTATTAGCGCCTAGCTATCTATTTCTAAGAATAATAGTAGTTTAGTCTTATATAGTTTAATTTACGTATTTAATTACTTCTTTTATATAATATTAATATAGAGTAATAGTTTTAAAATAAATACTTTCTTCTTTATAGAAGATAGTAAATTTATTTATAATAATTCTATTATTATAGTATATTCTTTAAATAATAATTTTATTAGTAATTTTTAGCTCTTTAGTATATTATATAATAATATTATTAGTTTTTATAGTCTTTAGGTTTTTTATCTATAAGTATTAAGTTATATTATCTATAATATTTAGTATACTTTAAGTACTATTATAACTAGTTAATCTATATAGACTATAGACATTAATATAAAGAAGATCTCTAGGTTTACTAGTAGTATAGCTTACTAGGTCTTAAAGTATCTTAGTAATATTCTTTATAGCAGCGTAGATAGAATAGTATTATTCTATTCTTACTTTAATCTATATATAGGTAATAGTAAGCTTAACTTCTATTTTAAGTAACTTTTGTATATTCTTAAAAGTTATATATTCTAGGTTTTAATAATATTTCTAAACTTTATTATTAAATAAGAAATCTATATATATAAAATTATTTTCTAAAGTTTTATTTTAATTAATTACTAGAAATATATATAAAGATATAGTAGTATCTTATAGAGTAGTAGTGTCTATAAGTTTAATAAGCTTTAGTTAATAGAGACTATTATTCTCTAGTATAATTATAATAGTTTTGTTAGTTTTAGCGTACTAGAATTAAAAGAGAGATTTATTTACTAATCTATTAATCTATTACTTTATAATCTATAAAACTAATACTAAACTATAAATAGTATCTAGTAAGTATATAACGTTAGATAGAGTAATATAGTTCTAAGTTCTATTATCTAGGTTAATATCTAAGTATACTATACTAATTCTAACTATTCTTAATATAGTGTTAGTGTTAGTAATTTATATAAATCTTAGTTTAATATTATTTAAGTTTATAAATTAGTTTTAATTATTATATAGATATATACTAGCTCTAGAGTTAATAACTTATTTATTTATTAATAAGTTATCTTTCTTAAGTATAAGTATAGCTTCTATAACTATATTTATCTTTATAGGTATATAATCTCTTAGTACTATCTCTTGTTTATTTCTATACTTTATATTAATACTAATTTTTTAAAAGGTAGTTAAGAAGTAAGAATAGAGAGTAGATTATATACTAGATTAATTATAATTCTAATAATAGTTAAACTAGTCTAAGAAGTAACTATTAATATAGTAGTTTTAGTAGTAAT